AGCAGAAACTAACACACCATTGTAAAGCAATTATACTCCAATAAAGATGTTAAAAAAAAAAAACCAATCCACAAACATTTAGTTACTGAGTACTTGCTATGTGCCAGGCGCTCTTCCGAGCTGCAAAGAACCAGCAATAACAAAACAAATATCCCTGCCCTTGTGATGTATACACTCTAGTGGACCATCCTGCAACTCAGAGGAAAGCAAAGAGACTCATGTGGGCCTCAGCTCTGACAGTCTAAGCAGCTGAACTAAAGACAGGAACTTACTGGAGAAAAATGAATTTTATTCAACCCCTTAGAGCTAGCTAGTTGGTAAAGGAATATTAGAGATAGCTTTGACCGGAAAAATTAGAGTTGTGATTTATTTTGGAAAGACAATTAAAAATTAACTTAAATTTTTAAATATATACATGCATATATGTTTATAATTTATACATGTATGTGTGCATATATATGTGTGTATATATATGTGTGTGTGTGTGTGTCTGTGTGTGTTTTAGAAAGAGAGAAAGAAAAATAGACAAAGCAAATGTGGAAAAATGTTATCATAAATTGGAGTGAAAGGGAATTCCCTGGCAGTCCAGTGGTTAAGACTCCATGCTTTCATTGCCAAGGGCACAGGTTGGATCCCTGGTCAGGGAACTAAGATCCCACATGCTGCGCAGTGCGGCCAAAAAAAAAAAAAAATTTGAGCGAAGGATATGAGGGTGTTTGCTTTATTATTCTCTCAATTTTTCTACCTAAGAAGGGGAAGGGAGGTCTTCCCTGGTGGCGCGGCGGTTGAGAGTCCGCCTGCCGATGCAGGGGACGCGGGTTCGTGCCCCGGTCCGGGAAGATCCCACATGCCACGGAGCGGCTGGGCACGTGAGCCATGGCCGCTGGGCCTGCGCGTCCGGAGCCTGTGCTCCGCAATGGGAGAGGCCACAACAGTGAGAGGCCCGCGTACCGCAAAAAAACATAATAAAATTAAATAAATAAATATATAAATAAAAGAAGGGGAAGGGAATCTGTGATTTCCTTGGATCATGTAGGAAGGTTCCTGGCATTCCTATGAATAATGTGTTTGTTTTTTTTTTAAATTAAGGCAAGCCCTTCAGTCCACGTGGGAAGGGGCTGCTTGAACTCCCAGGCCCTTTGGGTCCATTTCTCTCCATTTTGTAGAGGAGTTTGCCAATCCTGTTGTGAGAAGTACCTGCTTCGGAGCAAGCCTTTCAAGCCAGTGTTGGCCAGTCTGCCTGACCAACAAGACAGAGCCCCCTTCCGAGTTCCAGACCAGCTGTCTGCGCCTGCTCACAGGGAAAGGGCTGTACAGCTGCTGGCATTTGGTCTGAGATGCTCGCAGCTCCATCCACCCAAAGTAATTTGACGCTCACGTCACGTTTGCTGGCAACAACAAGCCACCGACTGTGGAATGTGTGCCTCTCAAATCCAAAGAGGCGTACCATGATGTAATGTAGGGTGAAAGAAGCAAGTTGTGGAACAGTATTTCAGGACGATCCCACATGTGCTAGAAAGAAAAGAAGGACGGACAGGGAGAGGGAAGGGGAGGGAAAGAGAGGAGAGGAAAAGACAGGAAAGGAAAGGGAAGGGAAGGAAAGAGAAAAGAAAAAAAGCTAAAAGAAAAGCTTTTATTTGGATGTATATACTCATTATGTATATACACATACATAGAAAAACCTGAAAATAAATACATTAACAGTGGTAATCCATAGACTGTATGTGTGGGTAAAGGTTAAAACTAATTTTTTTTCCTAGTTTTTCTTGTCTATTTTATAAATTTTCTGAATTAATCTATCTTAATTTGTATTTTTTTTCTAATGAGAAAAAATTAAGGAAAGGACTATTCAATGGGGAGGGGCTCTCCCCTCGAAGAAAAAGGGCTGCTGCTGCCCTTTTTATTTGCTTTGAAGTAAATAAAAACAAAGTGCAGTTGAGAGCAAAGGTCAGCAAACTATTGGCCAAGGGGTGCCGCGGGGGAGGGCAGGCAGCTAAGGCCTGACTCCTGTTTTTATAAGTAAAGTATCAGAACACAGCCTCCTCCATACATTTACATATTGTCAGGGCCGCCTTTGTGCTACAAACACAAGAGCTGCATCCACAGAGATTCTACGGCCCACAAGGTCCAAAATATTTACTATCCGGACCTTTACAGAAGTTTGCCAATCCCTGGTCTAGATTCATATTTCCTCTGAAATGGCAGAATACATTAGAACACTGACCCAAAAATTCAGACTCTGAAAGGGAAGGGTAAATTGAAAATTATTTTGTGAACTTGAAGGTTTAAATCAGCAAGTGTCACCTCATCGTAAAGGCCTTCCTCATTCACTCAATGTCGGTATCCCCTAACACAGCCCTGTCTGGCATTCATGTCCATTTTCTTCAAGGAATTTGTCACTGTCCGATATTTTTTTGTTTGTGTTTTCCTTTCTCATCATAATATAAGCCATGAGAACAGCAATCTTCTCAGCTTTGTTTGTCGCTATATCCCCAGTGCCTAGAACCTAGAACACTGCCTGGCACATAGTAAGTGCTCAATAAACATGGAGTGAATGAATGAGTGAATGAGTGAGTGAATCACAATTCAGTGTCAAAATTTTCATATCAGAATGAAGAGAGATAAAGCCACAGTCAGTGGCAACAAAAACTAGAGTCCAACAAATAAAAAGAAAGAGCAGTCAATCTTTGAACCATCCATGAACATATGTTAAAGATATGAACACTAATGCTTAGCAATGATGTATGTGTGGCTCTTCTCTTTTTCAGTTGAATTCAAGACTAATATTGAGAAGAAAGTCTGCCTGAGAGGAAAAACTGCAATGAAAGGCAACAGTGTCAGGGCGGAGCAGGGTTGCATTATTATGGTTTCTGTGTCTGAGGCAAGGCCAAGGTGAAAAGGTAAGAAGATACGGGATAAACACCCAAGGATGCTCCCTTTGGGGTTTGGGAGCAGTCAGCGACTCGGAAGACAAAGGAAGTAGCAGAGGGTCCGAAATGGAATTTCCACACTTTCTATTATTTGTTTTGAACCATAAAGCTATCAGGTGGGACCCAGAAAATCCCCAAGCACAATCCTTTCCCCTAAATACACACAGTGCACAGAGGCGGGTGAACAAGAAAACAGTGTCCAAGAGGGGCCATGGAACCCCCAGTCCTGGGGAGGTAGGTGGCTCTCTTTTGCTTTATTCCATTTATCCCTCTGAGCCAAGTACATACTCAGATGCCCGGAGGTAGGTTACCAGTTAAACCCTTCCCCACACCTTATCTCCCTTCTAAGAGGAATGGACCCTGAAGAGGTTCCTCCGTTTGCCAGGCAGAGGAATAGATGGGAGGATGAGAGACTGGGGAGTTTGAAAGGGACTAGATTGTCTTGCTTAAGAACACGAAGAAAAGAGATGAAAGAAATGTGAAAACCTTTCCGCTTTGGAAGGAAAACATATATGACTAACGGGGATTGTTATTGAGTTTTGTCATAGATCAAAACTACTTCCCCAGAATTCACAGAGCTTTTCAGTCTCCCCAAGGCATTTTCAGTAGAATTGACATTATTCATTAATCCTTTGTCACATTGGATCTGCTTTCTGGGAAACAATAGCAAAGTTCCCGAGTCAAGGTGGATGTAGGGTCAAGAGCAGAGGCTACTGACTGGTGCCCAGCATAGTTACAAGAATAGCCTATTGTATTCTGCAGCCCTGGGGTTCTTATCTCTGCCTAGACAAAATGCAGAAAAATGTGCAACCTTGAAAGACAGAGGCTCATTCACTCTCCCAGGTGAAACCAAAAAACTTTGTACTGTTTTAGAAACAAATTAATTCCCAGTTGGCTTGCAGACATGGAAGGAAGACAATAATCCATTCAAAGGTAAATTACTCCTTTGTACAAATAACACAACTTGAATACCAAGACTAGTGTGGACCCACATACCCATTTAAAATTTCTCCAAACTTTGTACAACATGCCCCTATTCCCTCAGTTGCACAGTCTAATTATTTGTCTAAAACAACCTGCACCTCTAATCCCAGGATCCTGTATTTTTCATTAACCATTTCGGGACAGCTTCTTCCCCAGGCAGATACGCTTCACCTAATGAATTTCACCTTTAATCAGAAAACGGAAAAGTTATACACCCAAACTTACAGTTTACAATTTTAAAGGAATCTGATTCAGAAATTCTTATTTTTATCGTCTCTACATCTTCGGTTTTTCCTCAGAATCGACATCTCTCATCTATAGTTTTCCCGGTGGGTAATGTGATATTGTAGAACATCTCAGTTACTGATTTGAACCTCCTGGAAATTCACAAAATAAATGTACAGATTAACCTTTTCCCTCAGAGCTTCCACCCCCTAATCTTTCTATTCCGATTCGGCAGCCTCCATTTCAGAGATTCATCTTGATCCTGACCAGACTTTGCCAATATTTGCAGCAAGTGTTCAGCAGTCACCTCCTTCTCCCTCACTGAAGTCAGCTGGTCTTTCGCCTTCCTTCCTCTTTGTTGTTGGAATTGAGAGGAGTGGAGTAGGAGGGGGCCAGTGTATATATATGAGAGCTGAAAAAAATTCAGACATACACAAGAGTATGAAGCGAAAGCCCCACCCCTGCCCTGGGATAACCATTTTAACATTTGGGCATATATCTTTTCAGACCTTTAGGTATGTATAGTTTATGCATACACACACACACACACACACACACACACACACACACACAGGAACATATTGGACATCTGGTTATGCGAGTTGTTTTTTTCTTTTTTTACTTGCTCTATATATTCATTCATTCCTCACACATTTAATGAGCATCTATTCCGTGCCATCTAGGCTGTGGGAACACATCAGTGAACAAAACAGACAACAGTTCCTGTCCTTGTGGAGAATGCAGACCAGAAAAAAAAAGTAAGCATGTGCTATTGCAGATGGTAATAAATGCTATAAAAAGAGAAAGAGAGAGAGAGAGAGAGAGAGAGGGAAGGAGGATAGGGAATTGGGTATTGCTATTTAAACAAGATCAGAAAGGGTCTCTCTAATAAGATGACATTTGAGCAATAACCTGGGATTCGAGTCAAACAAGGAAACTGGGGTGGCTGGAGAAGAATGGGCAAGAGGAAGATACAAGAAACCACATGGGGTGGGTGTCGGGAAGTTATCAAACAAGGCCTGTAGACCACAGCAGGGGCCTTGACCTTCATTCTGAATGAGATGGGGGCCCAAGTGTAGGTTCTAAGCAAAGGAATACTCCTTTTTTCTCAGTGGCCCTTCCTACCCATTTCCTTCCCCTACCACCCACATCCCACCTTAAAAATTAAGAAAAATACTCACCTGTTATCACTACACCATCCACCAGCCCTCCTATGACTGTCAGCCACAGCCCCAGGCCTCTCCCCTCATTCTGTAAAGACCGTTAGCTCTTGGCTCAAGATTACTGTTTTGGTGACGCAGAGGGTCTCAATCCTGGCTGCACATTTGAACCACCTAAGTAGCTTTAAAATAATAAAAGTTAAAAATACCTGTAATAGGGCTTCCCCAGTGGCTCAGTGGTTAAGAATCCACCTGCCAATGCATGGCACACGGGTTCGAGCCCTGGTCCAGGAAGATCCCACATGCCGCGGAGCAACTAAGCCCATGCGCCACAACTACCGAACCTGTGCTCTAGAGCCCGCGAGCTGCAACTATTGAGCCCACGTGCCACAACTACTGAAGCCCACGCGCCTAGAGCCCGTGCTCTGCAGCAAGAGAAGCCATCGCAATGAGAAGCCCGTGCACCGCAATGAAGAGTAGCCCCCACTCACCTCAATTAGAGACAGCCCACGTGCAGCAACAAAGACCCAACACAGCCAAAAAATAAATTAATTAATTTTTTAAAAAAATACCTGTAATAGGATCTAACCCACAGAGATACTGCTTAAGTTGGTCCAGGGAGACCAAGGCTTCAATTTTTTTTAATTCCCTAGATGATTATAATATGCAGCAAATGTTGAGGACAACATCATAACTGATCCTTCTAGTACCCTGACCATCCAGCTCCTGACCTCCTTCTTCTATCCCGTTATTCTTAGCTGCTCATTGCCATGATCATGCCGTAGACTTTGACACTACCAATAAAAACCCCTGCATAATCTCAGTTTTAAGCCTTCCAACACTTCCCATCTTTTTAGCCTATACTTCCAGCACTCCAATTCTAATAACCCCCTAAGACCTAGAGTTCACTGTCCCACCACATTTACAAGGTCTCTCGACCTCCATATGGCCTCACTTCCCTCCTCGCCCAGGTTAGATTCTATGGTCAGTTTTTACCATTACCCTTTGCATATACCCTTAACTCTCTGCCCCACTGTCACTCCTTCTGTCCCTCCATAGAAATTATTAAAACTAATTAATAAGCCAGTCTCCCCTGATTATCCACCAATTTCCAAGGGGTGGGAATTCTTCATCCTTACCTTCATGGCTTCTTCAATCAGTTGCAGGAAATTCAAAAAATTACAAGATGCATTCCTTTGCTCTATATTCATAATATTTTTACTCAGACCTCCAGGTCACAGATTTTCTCTACTCAATGCCATATGGCCATTCAGCTAAATCTCCAGTGGGGCTTTACTTGCTGATTCAAGAAATTATCCTAATAGAGACCTGGACTTGATGACTTTCAAAAGAATCTCTAATTTTCTATATGGTCTAATTGATATGGGCTTATGCCATCACTGAAAAACAAGGGAATTTTTAAAGTATTGTTTAAAACATCAGGTTGTTTGTGTCCATCTCCCAGTCCCATTGTGGCTTCAAACATGTAGAATAAAGTTGAATCCTTAGGGTTATTGTTTCCTAACCTTATCAGAGACACGGAGAAATTTCAGATGCATAATTTAATCCTAATACACAGTTGTATACACTTGCCCCTCTCCCACCCATTATAATTACCTGCAAAATGCCAACAAAACACTGACCTGAGACCTTTAGTCACAACTGGGATTCCTCACCCACATCTAGGGTTCCTTCCACCTATAGATATAGGAATGAAGCCCATGTGAACTTTATATCGGCATCTCTGATGTCTACCAAACTTACGAAAACTGAACAGGAAGAGTAAGAACATATAAAGTCCTATAACTTATCAAGAAACTGAAAAACCTTCCCACAAAGAAGACTCCATACCCAGGATGGCTTCACAAGTGAAAATTTCCAAACATTTAAGGAAACAATGAGAGAGATCCTCTCCCAACTCTTTTACAAGGCAGCAAAACCTGAATCCATCATGTCACAAAAACATAGAAGAAAGGAAAATTATAGATAATAGATGCACAAATCAAATTAAATCCAGTGATGTATAAAAGGGTTATACATCTCAATTTTGTGTTCCTGGATTAATTCCTGTATTTATTCTGGGAATATAAAAAGATTCCTTTAATATTAGAATATCAATCAAAGTAATTGACCCCTTTTTCAGAATATATAAAGGAAAATTATATGATCAACTCAGTAAATGTAGAACAATGTACTTGATAAAATGTAATGCTTATTTGTGAGTTTTTTCTTAAACTGTAACAAGCTAGTAATAAAAAGGCATTTCCTTAATCTGATAAAGCATATCTACCAGAACAAAAAACAAACCACAGCAAACATCATACTTAATGATAAAATATTGAAGGCATTCCTCCTGAGACGGGGAACAAGATAAGGATGCCCACCCACAGCATTATATTCCACATTGTATTGGAGATCCAAGACACTGTAATAAATATTAAAATACACAGTCATTATTTGTGGATGTGGTGGCGTACATTGAAATCCCAAAGGAATCTACAGGTAAACTACTGTGAATTGAGCAAGGTCACTGTATACAAGAACAACATTCAAAGCTTAATTGAATTTCTATATGTTAACAATAGAAACAATAAGAAGATGAAATTGTTAACCGTTGTAAATTAAAGAATTAAAATACCTAGAAATAAATCTAACCAAAAAATGTGTATGGGGCTTCCCTGGTGGCGCAGTGGTTGGGAGTCCGCCTGCCGGTGCAGGGGATGCGGGTTCGTGCCCCGGTCCGGGAAGATCCCACATGCTGCGGAGCGGCTAGGCCCGTGAGCCATGGCCGCTGTGCCTGCGCATCCAGAGCCTGTGCTCCGCAACGGGACAGGCCACAACAGTGAGAGGTCCACGTACCGCAAAAAAAAAAAAAAATGTGTATGACCCCTAAGAGAAAACTACAACATGTGACTTCAATATATTAAAGAAAACCTAAATACACTATGCTTATGGATACACTATGCTCACGTTCAATATATTCAGTATTGGAAGGATATCAGTTTTCCCCAAATTGATCTACTGAGTCAATATAATTCCAATCCAAATCCCAGCAGAATTTTGTGGAAAGAGACAAGCACACTTTAAATTTTATATAGACTTCATTAAAAATGAAGAACATCTATTCTTCAAAAGACATCATTAAGAAAGCGAAAAAGTCAGAAGACCTAAATTGACATTTCTCCAAAGAAGACATACAGATGGTCAACAGGCACATGAGAAGACGCTCAACATTGCTAATTATTATTAGAGAAATGCAAGTCAAAACTACACTAAGGTATCACCTCACACCAGTCAGAATGGTCATCATCAAAAAGTCTACAAATAATAAATGCTGGAGAGGGTGTGGAGAAAAGGGAACCCTCCGGCACTGTTGGTGGGAATGTAAATTGGTGCAGCCACTATGGAGAACAGTATGGAGATTCCTTTAAAAAAACTAAAAATAGAGCTACCATATGATCCAGCAATCCCACTCCTGGACATATATCCAGACAAAACTATAATTCGAAAAAATACATGCACCCCAATGTTCCGAGTAGCACTATTTACAATAGCCAAGACATGGAAGCAACCTAAGTGCCCATCAACAGATGAATGGATAAAGAAGATGTGATATGTATAATGGAATATTACTCAGCCATAAAAAAGAATGAAATAATGCCATCTGTGGCAACACGGATGGACCTAGAGATTATCATACTAAATGAAGTTAGACAGAGAAAGACAAATATCATAAGATACTCACATGTGGAATCTAAAATATGACACAAATGAACTTATTTACAACACAGAAACAGACTCACAGACATAGAAAACAAACTTGTAGTTACCAATGGGCAAAGGGTGCAGGGGGAGGGGGAGGGATAAATTAGGAATTTGGGATTAACAGACAACACACTACTATATATAAAATAGATAAACAGGGCTTCCCTGGTGGCACAGTGGTTGAGAGTCCGCCTGCCAATGCAGGGGATGCAGGTTCGTGCCCCGGTCCGGGAGGACCCCACATGCCGCGGAGCAGCTGCTCCCCTGAGCCATGGCCGCTGAGCCTGCACGTCCGGAGCCTGTGCTCCGCAACAGGAGAGACCACAACAGTGAGAGGCCCGCGTAACGCAAAAAAAAAAAAGATAAACAACAAGGACCTACGGTATAGCACAGGGAATTATATTCAATATCTTGTAATAATCTGTAATGGAAAGAATAGATAGATAGATAATAAATATGTATAACTGAATCACTTTGCTGAAACTAACATAATATTGTAAATCAACTATATTAAAAAAAAAAACCTCCAATAAAATTTCTGGGCATCAAAACCCACGTGAGCTTCTCTGTTTGGCAACACTCTTGTCACCCATCAATGTCCGGAGAGTAACGTGTCCTGAGGACTACAGATGCTTTGCATTTGGAGCCCTCTCAGACTCTGCCCTCTGTATCCCTTCCCTTGGCCAATTTTAATCTGCATCCTTTCACTGTAATACACCATAACCCTGAGTATAAGTTTTCAGTGTGTTCTGTGAGTTCTGTAAAGAATGATCTTATCTGAGGGTAGGTTTGGGAACCCCTCGAATTTGCAGTTGATACAGAAGTGAGGGTGCTTCATACGGACTCTTCTCTCTAACTTTGTAGCTGGACCCTAAGCCCTTGAGGTTGGTGTCAGAACTCTTGGACAGTCTTGTGTGAAAACTGTGTCCTCTTCCTGTGTAGTTGACTAAACTCCTGCAGTTGTCCTAAATTCCTCAGAGAAAGGAGCATGGACACAGAAAGAGGTGAGGAATTGGGGTGAATAATTAATCTACTTTGAGCCTTTGCTTTTATACTTGAAAGCGATTATACATGGCCAAGATATCATCTAGGGGTAGGAAGAAAATTCTATCAGAGTAGGTTGAAGGTCATGATTAGAAGAAAAATAAAACCATTCTGTTTTTCAGCCTGTTCAGGTTAGTCAGTAAAACTTCAGAGGGCCATTGTATGTCCCTGTGCAGTATAATGCAACAATGAATGAGATGTTTGAGAAAGATGGGGATGATGTCTGATAGTAGGCCAGAGAGTCAGGATCCACAGGACACACGAGACTCCAGCCCTGCAGATGGGATTTGTTGGGTTTCTCCAGAGTGCATCCCATGCCTTCTCTCTCTTTTTTTTTTTTTTCCTTTTTTTATGGAGGTGCCTTGCGGCTTGCGGGGCCTTATTTCCCCAACCAGGGATCGAACCTGGGGCCGTAGCAGTGAAAACATGGAGTCCTAACCACTGGACCACCAGGGTATTCCCTCCCATGCCTTCTCCACACCCTCCACAAAGTTCTCTATTTCAGGGCTCCATCCCAGCTTCAGGAGTCCAGAGACTGGATTTCCTTCACACAAACAAGCTATCTGCCAAAAAAACTCTGTTTTGCATAATAATTTCCCAGTGGAGCAGGAGACTAAGGGTCTCCAATTGCTTAGCAGAGGGGCCAACCCCTTATATCTTCACCTTGGAGCAGCATCCCCACGTAACCCATTCTTATTGGCTCTTCCAAGTCCTCAGTCTCTTCCTCAGGAAACCCAAATGTAGAGAAAGAAGCAGGCTTCTGAGACTCAGAACAAAGAATTCAGTAGAATGAGAAGAAGCTAAGATTCTGAGCACCAGGCTAGAGTTGGATGGAAAAATTGAGAGTCAACAGAGAGACCTGCCAGCCACGGCAAAACTGTCCCCCAAACAACCTTGGGGCAGAGAGCCCAGGGTTCACTTCTGATCTCTCTCTCTCTCTCAACTCCGCGCCATTTTCTTCATGGGCCTCATGTGCAAAGCTGCCTCATCCCCCCCTTACATAAAGCTACTGGTGAGACACAACCTGCTATGGCTTATAGGATGGAATTAAAGTGGACCTGCTCTGTGGGAAGTTACCTGATGCAACGGCAGCCTCCTAGGGCACAACCAGGGAGGTTACAGAGCAGAAAGGCTCATGGACCAAATTAAGATGCTCAAATCAAATGGTTTATTAAATCAGTAACAGAAATACAGGGAGAATCAAGAGGAAAGAGACAAATTTAGGAAATGATTCAAGCAGGGTGAAAGAACTACACTACCTGAATCCTGTGGTACACAGTGTGTGTGCGTGTGTCTCCATCTCTCGCCCTGTCTCTGTCTCTCTCTCTCTGCCACATCAGTTTTCCTGCTGACATATGGTCATGAGAACATTGAGTTGAGGGTAAACAAAGGGTGTCAGAGGACAGAAGGTGCCTGGAGCCAACAGGTGTCCCATCAGAAAAACACAGGGGCAAGTAAGCCTTGCCCGTAGCTCTAGCTCCCCAGTGACTTGCTAAGCAACGGTGCCTTTTATCTCCATGCCCTGGGCAGAAAACAAGTGGGACCAAAAATGGGCATCACCCAACGGTGCCAGTTTAAAAGCTCATGCATATTGAGTGTTTTGTGAAACTGCCTCGTTGCTTCATAAATATGTACTGCTTCTTGGTCCCTTCACGCCTTCCTATAAATATTCATCACACACATTCTCTACTTCCTTTCTTGCAAGCTCCTTTGCTCCATCCTTACTTTCTCTTACTCCCTGTGGTAGAATTATTCTTAAATAATACAAACATGCATTGCAAGTCCCTCTGTCAGAAGGATGTTCAACCTGAGCCTCAAGATGGAGAAAGTCAAGAGCTGTCGCATCTCAGGGCCACTCGGGCATGACTCAGAAACCATGGGCTAAATAGAAAGAAACAGGAACTGAAGCCACAGAAATTCACAGGGAGAAACAGGTGGGATATCTCAGGTGACAGGAGACAGATTCAGGGGCAGCAGCTGCAAGAACAAAAGGCTGGCCACCCAGGAAAGCCCCAGGCCTGCGACAATGACAGGGCTAAGTTGGAACAAGCAGTCAGTATCACTGGAGCGCCCCAGGAGGTGACAGTCACAAAGAAGTACATGTGACCAAAGTGTCCCAAAGCTATGAGATGTGGTACTGAGCCAGAGGTGGAAGAAAAATGCAGGGAAGTGCAGGCAGAGAGAACCCAGGACTACAAGCGACACTGGGGGGTCCAGGGTGCAGACACCCATTTGGGATTCAGCAACAGGCTGCAGGTTCTATGACAAAGAGAATCCCAGTCCTGCGGGACACAATTCTGGAGGGAAAAGAGTAGGGATCCTGTTTTCAGAATCTGCTGTCAGGTCATATACTAAGTTAACCTTAAAAATGCATTCCAATATACATTAGGTGCAGACAAATACTGTTTGATTCCACTTATACGAGGTACCTAGAACAGTCAAATTCATAGAGTCAGAGAGTACAGTGGTAGATGCCAGGGGCCAGGGGGTGGGGAGGGGAGTGGGGAGGGGGAATGGGGAGTTAGTGTTTAATGGGGACAGAGTCTCAGTTTAGGAAGGTGAAAAATTCAGGAGATGGATGATGGTGAGACTGTATGTGACTGTGCTTAGTGCCACTGAACTGTACAGTTAAACATGGTTAAAATAGTATGGTTTATATTATGTGACTTTTATTACCACAATAAAAAAATTTTTAATAAAAATTAAAAAATAGAGTCCTCTCCATACCTTGGCCTATGGTCCATTGAATGACAGGTGGGTGACAGGTGCATCCTCCAGGTACCAGGGCCACCTGAAGTTGCAGAATAACCTCGTGGGTTAGAGGCCTGGGGAAAGAGGGAAATAAGTATTCATTGAGTGTTGACTCTGTGCTAAGCTGTCGTGAGCCTTTTATCTAACAGAGCTCATTTATATGTCGCAGAAATTCTACCAGGGAAATGCTGCTGCTCTCCCCACTTGTGGCTGGGGAAACTGAGGCACTGAGAAGCTGAGTGATTCTTGAGCCAATAGGAAAGGATGATTCCAAACGCGAAAGGTCAGAGGCAATGAGTAAAGGATGAGAGGATGGGTCTTGTCACTGATGATTCCATCCTGAAGGTCTTGCTAACCCTCCATGGATTGTATGCTGAGGCCTCTGGACTTTTGACAGATTGATTGTTGCTATGGTTAACAGCAGCGGCTGGCAAACTTTTTCTGTAAAGGTCCAGATAGTAAATATTTTAGGCTTTGTGGGCTGTGTGATGTCTGTTGCAACTCTGCAACTCTGTCATTGTAACAGGAAAGCAGCCATAGACAATATGTAAATGAATGGGTTTAGCTGTGTTGGCTGTGTTCCAATAAAACTTTATTTACAAAAAAAAAAGAATCTGCTGCTAACTAGCTGGACAGGAACGTTATCAAGGACAGTGGGGCTGTGGCACAGAGTATGACGTTGAATTTGCTTATGCCTCTCCTGAAAAACATTTTGGATTATTTCTCTAAACTAGACCAGTAATATCAAGTCATTCCAAGATGACTGAACTCCTAGAGGCTGGGAGCTGTGAAGGAAGCAAAGATCAAATTCTAGAAGAGCCTGGCTTTGGTCCTGACTATGCCACTTACCAGCTATCACCTTGGGCTAGTCATATCACTTCCCTGAGCCTCTGTTTTTCCCTTCCATAATATGTGGACAATAATGTTTGCTTTTCAGACCTCTGAGGATTTGTATGGAGACAAAATGAAGTGACATACATGCAAGCTATTGCTAAATTATACCAATGGTAGTTATTAATATTACCAGTGATTTGCTGTGGGGTCAGAAAAAAAATTAGTGAGCCTTATTGGGTCTCAGATTTTTCTATGAGAAAGAGGAAAAGATCACTAACAACCTCTCTGCTGTTTGTGAGAGAAAAAAATAATTGCCTCAAACCCCTAGGAAGGTGGTGTTGTTTGAGCACTCTCTGATGAATTTCTGGGCACTGCTCATGGGCTACGTGTCTCTCTGGAGCCTCACACTCATTAAACTTAAGGTAGAGGCCCTCAGGGAATAGACTTGGTAAATGAAGAGGGCCAACCCTGTGCCAGGAGCCCCACCAGACCTCATGCACCAAAAGGATCTCCATCTCCAGGTATCATTCTCTGTGCGTCCTCGACTACCAATCATTGGTTTCCTGTTCAGCCCCTGGGACAATCTAAAATGAGGCAATTCTCGTAAACTGATACAGCCAGTATGGAGAACACATGAAGGTTCCTCAAAAAAACAAAAATAGAACGACCATGTGACCCAGCAATCCCACTGCTGGGCATACACCCTGAGAAAAACATAATTCAAAAAGAGTCATGTACCACAATGTTCACTACAGCACTGTTTACTATAGCCAGGACATGGAAGCAACCTAAGTGTCCATTGACAGATGAATGGATAAAGAAGATGTGGCATATATACAATGGAATATTACTAAGCCATAAAAAGAAACGAAATTGAGTTATTTGTAGTGAGGTGGATGGACCTAGAGACTGTCATATAGAGTGAAGTAAGTCAGAAAGAGAAAAACAAATACCGTACGCTAATACATATATATGGAATCTAAAAAAAAAAAAAAAAAAGGTTCTGTAGAACCTAGAGGTGGGACAGGAATAAAGACGCAGACGTAGAGAATGGACCTGAGGACAAGGGGAGGAGGAAGGGTAAGCTGGGACGAAGTGAGAGAGTGGCATGGACTTATATACACTACCAAACGTAAAATAGCTAGTGGGAAGCAGTCGCATAGCACAGGGAGATCAGCTCGGTGCTTTGTGTCCACCTAGAGGGGTGGGATAGGGAGGGTGGGAGGGAGATGCAAGAGGGAGGAGATACGGGGATATATTATACGTATAGCTGATTCACTCTGTTATACAGCAGAAACTAACACACCATTATAAAGCAATTATACTCCAATAAAGATATTTTTAAAAAATAAAATAAGGCAATTCTCACAGGCCCAGGTGGAAAGACCAGGTAAGAGCTCATCCAGAAGGTTTCAGAGGAAGGAGAGATCCAAAGGTCCAACAGGACGGTCTGAGAACACCCACCCCTTGAGCTGGTTGGATGCAGCCAACAGCACAGGGAAGGAAAGTCACTCCCGGGGGTCTCTGGAAGCTGGATTCAGGGGGAGATTGTCCCTGCTTCTCCACAGGTCACTGTGCTCACAGATGACCCCCACCTCTTCTCCTGTGCTTCCCTTCTCCCAAGTTACCCTCGAGCCCCCATTTAGAATGAATAACAAGCACTGAATGCAGGTGTTCTTTGGTTAACAATAAGGTTAGTCCCAATGAACCCAGCGTAAGTTGAAAATATCATTAGTTGAAAATGCATTTAATACACCCTGGTGACGCAGTGGTTGAGAGTCCGCCTGCCGATGCAGGGGACGCGGGTTCGTGCCCCGGTCCGGGAAGATCCCACATGCCGCGGAGCGGCTGGGCCCGTGAGCCGTGGCCGCTGAGCGTGCGCGTCCGGAGCCTGTGCTCCGCAACGGGAGAGGCCACAGCAGTGAGAGGCCCGCATGCCGCAAAAAATAAAAAAAAAATACACCCATCCTACTGAGCATCATAGCTTAGCCCCGCCTTCCTTAAATGTGCTCAGAACATCAGCCTACATTTGGGCAAAGTCATCTAACACAAAGCCTATTTTATAATAAAGTGTTGAATAGCTCATGTAATGTATTGAACACTGTACTGCAAGCGAAAACCTGAATGGTCGTCTGGGTACAGAATTGTTTTAAGTGTATCGGTTGTTTTGTGATTGCTGCCACTGCCCAGAATCAGGAGAAAGTATCTTACAGCACATTACTAGCCTGGGAAAAGATCAAAATTCAGAACTCAAAGCATGGTTTCTGCTGAATGTGTATTGCTCTTGCACCATCATAAAGTTCAAAAATCTTAAGTCAAATCATCGTAAGTCAGGGACCGTCAGTATTACTCTCTGCCAAACGCTGACAAGAGCTTCAAAGGCATCATCTTATTTAATCCTCACGGCAACCCTAAGGGTAGGTACTATTATCGCCCCTTTGCAGAAGACAAAACTGAATGAGGTTAAATCACTTGCCCAGGGTTACAAAACGAGTAAGGGCTGGCACTGGGATTCAAATCCAGATCTGGCCAATCCCAAGGCCCATGTTCTTAACTGCTAGGCAATAATGCTTCCCAGAAACAAGCCACCAGCCCCAGGCTCCAGCAGTGGACTAAAGAAACCCTTCTGAAAGGCAATGAAAGGTTCGCCATTTGGGAGTGCATTTGCAATAGTTGGGGGTGGGTTAGGGAAGAATGGTGTAGAATCTCTCTGTCCCCCAGCTCTTGTAGGCCACTTAGATGTCCGCCATTACTCCGTGGAGCTTGATTCTTGAGGCCCGACATTCAAAGTCTGCATGTCCTCCTGGGCTCTAGGCCTCTGCACCCATATGTTGTCCCCTGACATCCCATCAGTGAGGCAACCCCTAGGCTTGGTTTTTAAGTTCAATACTTCTCTTCCACTCACTTATATAAAAATGTATTAAAAAAAAAAAAAGCTAGTTCAATCAACTGCTAATTGCTGTTCTTTGGACACATATACAAACCAGGAAAATCCCATAAGGAAGACAGCGAATTTTCCTCCTGTGCAAGGTAGGAGACCCTCCCATGGCCAGGGTTCTCTCTGACATCTTTTCATCCAGGCTAGAAGGAGAATGTCTAGTTCTCAGGGGCTTTCCCCTTCAGCAAATCCTCTACCTTCATGACAATCCCCTCATCAGCCCTCCCAAGTCACTTTCAGATGTTCCCACCAAATGTGTGGTCACTTTCTGAATCAGCCTCAACACAGAATCTTACAAATGGGGACCAGGACCCCCCTCACCTCTGTCGTTCTCCACCAGCATCCAATTCACGCAAGAGCTGGATCCATTCGGGTTGCTAGCCAGAGTGTTTCAAACTCTAACCAGAATAGGAATCAACTGTGAATCTTGTTAAAATGCAGATCTGATTCAGTAGGAGGGCTGGGAGGAACCAGATTCTGCGTTTCTAAGGAGCACCCTGTGATGCTACAGGTGTGCCATCTCTGTTTGGTAACCAGGTGCTAAAGATCAGTGACCACAGCTTGTGAATATCTGTGCCATCTGGCCGGGAGGGAAAAAAAAATGAAGCAAGAGAAAACCAGGCAGGGTCCCTTTGAGAACCACAAATTTTCTTCTCCCCCAAAAAGGAAATGTAGGAAAGTCCAGCAAGGCTGCGAGTTCTCTGCATGAAAACCAAGTCAGAGACTGCACACTAATTTTTATTGGAGGTTTCATGGCTCTGGGTTCCAAATTGTTTTAACCCAAAGTTGCTTTAAGATAGGCGCTGTTGGTGACTGTAAAGGAGAAGCAATAACTTAAATATCCCTCATTAGGGGACTTCTTAAAAGAGACGTTCATGAAATATCTTTTGGGGGGAAAAATGGGCAGCATTTATTCACTGACATTGAAAGATCTCCAAAATAGGTTGTTTAAAAAGAAAAACAAGATGCAGGACAATGTTTATAGTTTGCTACCATTTGTATCTTTTAAAAGAGAAAGGAGGGTATATACGTACACGTATTGCTCATGTAAGCAATGACTAACAACAGAAAAATACACAGGAAACTGGTAGCTTCTGAGGAAGAGAGGTGAGTGACTGGGGAATCAGAAGGGGCAGGATGGGAGGACTTATTTTCACTGTAGTCCCTTCTGAATTTTGTGCCATAGAAACACAGTTCCACTCAAAAACAAAAACTAAAATTGAAAGACAATCCCCTTGTTCTTATTTCTGTACCTCCATCCACCCAAAAATTCAATGAAATTGATTCACTCAACATTTTCATGTACCCTCTTGGTGAGTCCCCAGCTGAGTTAGTTCTCAGAACAAGGATCAGAGTAGCATTGCCTTGTGTCATTGCTGGGGAGACCACGAAAGGTGTGTGCTCAGGGTCTGGATGCTCTGGGGGTCCTGATTTCCCTTCTGGAAACCAAGAGACCTGCCACTGAGGTCAAGAACTGACAGTCTGAGTCCTCTGCAGGTGGCCTGGATCACCCTCGGAGGCTGGGTGAACGGTGAGAGTTTAGGATCCTCCTATAATTGGATGGCTGAGCTAGAATCTGTGACTGGAAACCAGGTGGGAGAACAATTACTTCCTTTAAAAAGTCTTCTTGTACGGACCTCATACTATACTTAGGACATGTTCTGTTCTCCCGAGTTATTTCTGGTTTAGACATCTGAGTTAGGCTGGCTGAACTATTGGGTCTCACTGTTCTTCTCTGGTTACCCTATATGATCTCTTGATTCTCATTAAGTAATTTCCCTAGCTCGTGTTATTTACCTTCTTTCCTGAGGCTATGATTCCCTCCGATGAAGAGGGGGTTATGCCAGTTGCTCTCCCTGGAGCCATCCAGCTTCCAATATCAGTTCATCCATTTGGGACCTCAGGCAGGTTACTCACCTCTCAAATGAGGTCGGGATGGAGGGGAACACCTAGCCTGGAGAATAGCACAGAGCAGAGGCTCAACAAATATTTGTTTCCTCCATCATAATATTTCTTCCTCCCTCCACCATCACCCAGGATTATTATAAGCACCTCATTCTTTTCAAAGCACCTCTGTTTTTACCATCTCTGAACCCCAAAAGCCCAGCCAAGACTTGTCCTTTGCACTTTGCGGATGAGCACGTAGGACCCAGCTTTCTCCAAGTGACTTGCCAGTGTCACATCACCAAGTGTGGAACTGGAACCATACCCCCATCGAGGAGCTCCCGGGAGAACTCCCTGAGCGCCACTCCTCAGGGAATTAGGTTCGAGTCCTGCGGCTCCTTCCTGTTTCTCCCCGTCGGTACATTCAAATCCACAAGTATTTCAGCTCCCACAATGTGCTGGGTTACAGGCAACTTTTTTTTAATGTCCAGATCTTTTGTACATGGAAAGGATTATGTAAAACCGTTTATTAATTGATTATATCTTAATCTGTAAATTTATTTTTTGTGGATTTGTGATCTTTACTGGTTGATAAGTCTAAAAAGTTGACCACCAACTGGAGTCACACAGTCTCCAAACACTGTGTGACTAAAGTAAGCTGATACCTAAACTCTTTGGTGGATTAACATCATAATAATAATAAAATTGAATGAGCATCTACATTGTCCTATGGTGAGAAATTGGCCTCACGGAATTGGGACCCTGAGATTCTCACTTTTTTTCCACTCTTTATTTTTCAAGTATTTTTCTACTGAGTTATAAATTTGGAACTTAGTTTTTCTTAGGTCATTAAATGCAATTTCTAGTTTTTCTTAGGCTGTTAAATGCAATTTCTAAATATAATAAATTTAATTATATATCTAGTAATGTTTGTTAAAATTTAAAACAATCGGGGCTTCCCTGGTGGTGCAGTGGTTAAGAATTCTCCTGCCAATGCAGGGGACACGGGTTCGAGCCCTGGTCCGGGAAGATCCCACATGCCACAGAGCAACTAAGCCCGTGCGCCACAACTACTGAGACCACACACCACAACTACCGAAGCCCGTGTGCCTAGAGCCTGTGCTCCACAAGAGAAGCCACCACAATGAGAAGCCCGCGCACCGCAATGAATAGTAGTTTCCGCTCGCCGCAACTAGAGAAAACCTGTGCTCAGCAACAAAGACCCAACACTGCCGATGGTAAATAAATTATTTAATTAAAAAAAATTTTAAACAATCACACTTGATCTTTGGTTAATGCTTCCTTTGCCCAAAAATCTAACAGATTAAATTCCCCCAAATAACTTAAGTGCTGTTTAAAATCAAATTCTCTTAAATAATTCAAAGTAAAGTCACAAAAAAAAACTCTATAGGAGCAAATTCTCCTAAACATTTAAACACTATTTATACAACATGATTGATTAAATGCTCTTAAACTTTTTAAACTACAATCACAAATTTAATGTACCTGATTTCCAAGCCGTTCAAGTACCTTCATAAACATTTAAACAACTCCTGAAAATTACTAAATCAGATGTTTATTTTTGGTAAATCAAATGTTCTGCATTTTAGCAGAGTCTAATCGAACATAGATTTAGTTAATTCAGTTTAGCTAATCATTCTCCATATTTCAAGTCTAATTAACTAGATACTCTTAATTGTTTCAAGCACCTTAAATGGTATGCAGATGCAATATGTATATATTCAAATATGTATTCAAGTTCATATTAAATAGTATAATTGTCACATAAACTTGTCATCTTACAAATAGATCCTACACACAATTATCAATGCAGGGTGCAAAGCATACACCCATCTGAAAAGGTTCATCCTGAGGCTCCCACAGCAACTGGAGTTACAAATGATTGCCCAAGATTCAAGATGAGCGTTGTGGAGCCAGTGATTTGGGCTACGACTTCAAGACTGGAAGAGGGGAACATGGGTCTTCCTCCCTCGAGTGTTCAGCGCATCCTTCATGTTAACCAGCTCCTGTAGTCAGGTTCTGCTGCTATAACAAGGTACCACAGGCCCCAGCTTCCAGTGGTATTGAGTTTCACAACCCAGTGCATCATCTTTCAATTCTACTCTTACCTAATTCTTTTTTTTTGAACATTTTAGTTTAAAAGAATTTAGACTTACAGAGGAGATATAAACTTAGTACAGAGAGTTCCTGTCTACCCTTCATCCATCTTTCTCTACATGACCACAGTACAACTGTTGAAAATCAGAAATTAAGATTGGTGCAATAGGGTTAACTAAACTATAGGTTTTATTTAGATTTCATCAGTTTTTCCACTAATGTCCCTTTTCGTTGTTGTTCCAGTCTCTAAATCCAGGATACCACATTGTATTGAGCTGTTAAATTTTCTTAGTCTCCTCCAATCTGCGACAGTTTCTCGGTCATTCTTGTCATTCTTGCTGTTGACAGTTTTGAGGCATACTGGTCAAGCATTTTGTGGAATGCTTCCCGATTTGGGTTTGTCTGATGTTTTCTCATGATTAGGTTGAAGCTATGGATTTCTTACCCAATTCTTATAAACATTCTCCAATGTTTGTCACCTGATTTGGGCAAGTGGAATTCCAAACTCACCCACCTGGGTAGTAACTACCCTTTTTGCAGCCTGATTTGCCTTGATAAGACTCTGTATGTTCTATTTTTTTTTTTTTTTGGCCATGCCACGTGGCATGCGGGATCTCAGTTCCCTAACGAGGGATCAAACCCAAACCCCCAGCAGTGGAAGTGCAGAGTCTTAACCACTGGACCGCCAGGGAAGTCTATTGAGGGCCAACATTGTGCCAGTCCCTGGAGATACAGCAATGAACAGAATTGACAAAAATGCCTGGCTTCACGGTTCGTGCATCCTAATGTCAGGGCAGAGATCATAAACTAATCAGTCACGTGTATATAGCATGTTAGGAGAGAATCAGTCCTACGAGGAAAAAAAGATCAAACCGAGAAGAGGAATAGTGAGTGCTGGAGTAGGAGAGAGTTTCCTTTAAATAGGGTGCTTAGCAAGGGCTGCACAAGCAGGTGACATCTGAGCCACAGCTTAAAGGAGTAGAGAGAAGGAGCCATGTGGCAGCTAACTGAAGCAAAGCGAGGGTAGGGGGGCCAGTGAGCACAGAGGTCCTGACTCATGCCTGGCGTGTCCTAAGAGGAGTAAGGAGAGACGTGTAGCTAGAGCGGGGTTAGGGAGAGTGGGGAGAGGAGGAGAAGAGGCCAGAGAGGTGAAGAGGGTGTCAGAGTAGTGGTAAGCCTAGCAGAGTGGGCTTTGAGGGCCACCGCGAGGGTTCTGACTTTCAGGTGTTAACAGAATCACCCTGGCTGCTCCTCATGAGAAAGAAACAAGACACCAGCTAAGACCAGTTGCAAAATAACCCAAGCAAGATAGGATGGTGCCTCTCAGAAAAGGGGGGGAAGTCAGTATACCTTTTGAAGGTAGAGCCAAAATGATTTGCTGAGGGATTCGATGAGGGGTCGTGGGGGAAAAAGGTCAAAAATGGCTAGAAGGTTTTGGCCAAAACAACTGAAAGGATTGAGTTGACATTACCTGAGTGGGAAGACTTTCTTATCTAATTATAGTTAATTTATATTCATTCATTGACATGAGGCACTGTGATAGATATCAGGGTACAAATTATTGAGATATTAAGTAACTCTCCTCCTACTAGGAGTAAAAAAATGCAATAGGAAAGATGGATGGGCTTTTTTTAAAATTTTTATTGGAGTATAGTTGATTTACAATATTGTGTTAGTTTCTGATGTATAACAAAGTGAATCAGTTATATATATGTGTATATATATATATATCCCCACTCTTTTTTAGATTCTTTTCCCGTATAGGTCATTGCAGAGTACTGAGTAGAGTTCCCTGTGCTGTACAGTAGGTCCTTATTAGTTATCTATTTTATATATAGTAGTGTGTATATGTCAATCCCAATCTTGCAATTTATCCCTCCCTTTCCCTTTCCCCCCGGTAACCATAAGTTTGTTTTCTACATCTATGACTCTATTTCTGTTTTGTAAGTAAGTTCATTTGTATCATTTTCTTTTAGATTCCACATATAAGCGATATCATATAGTATTTGTCCTTCTCTGACTTACTTCACTTGGTATGATAATCTCTAGGTCCATCCATGTTGCTACAAAAGGCATTATTTCATTCTTTTTTATGGCTGAGTAATATTGGATGGGCTTTATGTTAAAATATGGTGCTATTAATTCAACTAAAGGAGTATTTGTGAAATTCAGGGGAGAGAGGAAGGGAACAGACCTCTAAGCTGGATTTGGAGAGACCCAAGGACATTCCAAGAGGAAAATGTTGAATTTGTGAAGACATAGACATTTGCAATAATATTGTAGGTTTGTAGAAGTAAGTTTTTCAGAATTGCTAGAGGGTAAACTGAGAGCAGGGGAGCATGGAGGTGTTTCAAAGAGAACATCTAGCAGATTAAAGAATTTAGACATTATCCTAAGAGAGACAGGGAACACTTAGCACGCAAGCATGATTGTGACATCATGGGATTGCTGTGGGACCTGGAGAACAATCTACCACTCAGAGATACACGTGACTTTTCACTTGTAGTAGATGTTAAAGGCTACCTCTTCGATGAGAATGTTATTATTTCTCCATTCTTGTTTCTCCTCCTCTTCTTCACTGTCATGCGAGAAACACACCAGTTCAATGGCCTGGGGTCAGAAGCACACCACAGTGAAGGGATTCATCCTGCTGGGCCTCACAAACAGCGCAGACCAAAAACAACTCAACTCCCCTTTGCCATCTTCCTGCTGATCTACTCTGTGACTCTGGTGGGCAACCTGGGCCTGATAGATGTGATCCACGCCAGCGCCACCCTCCACACCCCCATGTACTTCCTCCTGGGTGTGCTTTCCTTCCTTGACATCTGCAGTGCCTCCGTGTTCACTCCCAGGCTGCTGATCAACTTCGTCACCACTGACCAGTCCATCTCCTTCGTGGGCTGTGTGGTCCAGACGGCCCTCATGATCCTCCATGGCACAAGGGAGTGTCTGCTTCTGGCCATGATGGCCTATGACCGATTCGTGGCCATCTGCCCCCCTCTCCTCTACCACACCATCATGTCCAAGCATTTGTGTGTCCGGCTGGGGCGTCCTATGCTGCTGGGGTGTTCATTTCAGCTGTTCAGACAGGGAATGCCTTCATCTTGCCCTACTGTGGTCCCAACATCATTGATCACTACTTCTGTGACATCCCCCCGCCATGCTCCAACTGGCCTGCTCAGAGACAACCATGGCCAATGTCATCTTGCTCGTCTTTTCTGCCTTGGTCACTGTCCCCACAATCTCAGTCATCTTGGTCTCGAATGCGTACATCCTGGCCACAATCTGTAGGATGAGGTCCTTGGAGGCCCAGCGCAAGGCCCTCTCCACCTGTGCCTCCCGCCTCACTGCCCTCTCGCTTTTCTATGGGTCTGTATTCCTTGTATATGTCCAACCCAACCCTGAAACTGCCTCAGCCTGTAACAAGATCCTCTCTGTGTTCTACACCATTGTGTTCCCCATGCTGAACCCACTGGTCTACAGCCTAAAGAATAAAGATGTCAAGGCCTCTGCACAAGTTAGGGTTCTTAAGCTAAGCAGAAAAGTAATTTGTTAGAAAAGTATCTGGTAGCCATAAGATAGAAGAGAAGCCTAGAGAACCCCGCCAGGACAAGAACCAAGAGAGGCAAGGCACAGCTAAGAGCCTGCCACAAGAGTAGTCTGTGCAGGATAGCACCATAGGAAGCATCACCTCTGGGCACTCTCCATGGCTGCAGCTAGCACTGCTGCCCCAAGCTTTCAACACAACTCAGCTGCTGGACACAGCCACCTGCACTAGCCACCACACCTCCCTCTAGAGCATCCAACTGTGTATCATCTCTAACTGATCCTAGACCTTCCCATCATTCCCTGAAGCTCAAGTCCTAAGCAGGAGCATTCACCTGTCTGGCAACGTAGCTATTCTACATCTCTTGATATATTAACTACATCTAGCATGGATATCTTACATCCACTGAGCTCCTACATGCACATTTCTGTTGTACAAAGCCCTGGGAGGTGGAAATAGGACCTTCTTTCACTTCAGAAGTGGGAGCTAGATTCTATATTCTTCCTGTCTTGAGAGTTCCCACATATAGCAAGGATCATTGAATGCCAAACAGTGAAAATGACATATTTCAACAGGAGAAACCTTCCCTACAAGGCTCTACAGGGAATGTTGCCCGTCTGAATACATGATATTGGAGAAATAATGCATGTGGTGTTTGAGTATAGGAAGGAGACAGTAGTCACTCGACTTTGGGGGAGAGAGTGGAGGCTCCAATTAGCCAGGGCCCAAAAGGTGCTCTAAAGCAGTAATGAGCTATTATTTCTATGTAAATGGCCAATTAAACAAAATTAAAGGCTGAAAGACCATACAACTTTCTTCAATCAAAATCAAATTACCTTTATGTTTTTAGACAAAACCCTACTTGTATTGTAACAGAAATCAGTCTTACTAATTTAAGAGTGGGGAAAAGGAGGTGGAATTTATTGTGAAACCCAGATGTCAACTGATGTTCAGTATCTTTTGGGGATTCAAATAAAATTGGCTTGAACCCTGTTCCATGTATCGCAGTGTCCCCACATTCCTGCCAACCTGGGAATCCTAGGTAACAGGAGATGGGTTGTAAATGTGTTTTATGCTTTGCCTGGTTACCTCTAACTCTGAGTTCCTTAATCCACTGAATTACTTCAGTTTATGAATTAGCCAGGGAGGGCGAAAAAGCATGGGATTAAGAATGTGGATGGGGCTTCCCTTGTGGCGCAGTGGTTGAGAGTCCGCCTGCCGATGCAGGGGACATGGGTTCGTGCCCCGGTCCAGGAGGGTCCCACATGCCGCGGAGCCGCTGAGCCTGCGCGCACGGAGCCTGTGCTCCACAACGGGAGAGGCTACAACAATGAGAGGCCCGCGTACCGAAAAAAAAAAAAAAAAAAAAGAATGTGGATGATATAAATGGGGAAGAGGGAAAAACAAAACCTGACCATCTTAGATCCTGTTGGGGAAGAAAAAAGGGGAGTATAGGCAGGTTGGGTTAAGGGCAATACAGCTGGGCTTGAGGCCTGTGAAGAAGACAAAGAAGCAGTTGCATCTCCGTCAGATAAACCATTCACCTGTAACTTCACAGATGTCAAAGTGAAACTTTTTCCTAGAAAACTAATTAATCCACGGCTGAACCTGTTGATCAATTCTTAGTGACGATATTGGAATCACCTCCCGGCTTTATGTACAGGTTTGAGGTCATTTTTCTTAACATACTGTACTAGGCTTCTCCAGAGAAGCAGAACCAACAGGATATATATGGATAGATAGATATAAGAGGAGATTTATTATAGGAATTGGCTCGTGCAGTTATGGAGGCTGAGATCCGCAATCTGCCGTCTGCAAGCTGGAGGACTAGGAAAGACAGTGCTGTAATTCAGTCTGAACAAAAGCCTAAAAACCAGGGGGCTATCGGTGTAAGTTGTGGTGAGATTCTGAAGCCTCGGGAACCAAGATCAGCAATATCTGAGGGCAGGAGAAGATGGAGGTCCCACAGTTCAAATAAAAACAGCAAAGTCACCCTTCCTTGGCCTTCTTGTTTTATTCAGGCGCTCTACCGACTGGATGATGCCCACCCACATTGGTGAGGACCATCTTCTTTACTCAGCCTACCGATTCAAATGCTAATCTCTTCTGGAAACCCCTCACAGACACACTGAGAAATGTTTTACAACTATCTGTGCATCCTTTTGTCCAGCCAAGTTGACACATAAAATTAACCATCACACATGCTAAGGCTAGAGCAGGCTCCAGCCGGTCCCCTACCACCTCCGCAATACTCCATCTCAGACTCAGGAAGTTAGGAACTGCAGTCTTTTCATGAAAATAAGCCATTTGCTTAATGAGAAAGTTTTCTTTAAATAATAATTTCCCTTAGGGCCAAGGAGACGCAGAGGACCAAGAAATGGAGAAGGGGAGGTGCCAACCCCTCCTTCACTGCCCTGGTAAACTCAGACTCTGCTTTCTAACTTCACCAGTTCCTGAGCACATGTTGCCAACAGCCCTAGGCAACCTAGTCACAGACTAAGAAATGAACAGGTTCCCCAAAAATTGATAGGTGAGTAGCCTAAGAGGAACGGAGGGAAGACAAGGCAGAGGTGTGAGCGCAGGAGCAGCTGGGGACATGGCAAAGTTTCTCCAGAGAGACAACGCATCCAATTCCTTCAGCCCCCCCCCCCCACATACTGCCCTCTCCAAATGGAACCCAGCCCTCTCCTCCCCTCTCCCTTCACCTAAAACCATCTGGCATAGAACCCAATAGGAGTCATTGGAATGTTTGTTGGAAATTAAGCCAAAGTGTTACCTCTCTCAAGAGCATTTGAATTAAATTTTTATTTACACATCTTTAGAGCACCCAGAGCCCAGCCAGTACCTGAAGATCTAGAACTTTCCATTGGGTAGAAGTGAAGCCAAAGGTAGGGGCAGATCAAGCCACAGGTGCTAAAAGGAAGACCAGTCTGTGGTCCCAGAGAGGCAGCCAAAGCACTGGGCTACAATGGATCACAGTCCAAGCAAACAGTCAGTGTTGAATGAGTGTTTACTGTTACCAATGACTGGCTCCAGCACCTGAGAAAAATTGGTCAGCCTTGCTGGGCCTCAGGTCTGTCCTATGTAGAATAGAGATGATCCCTAAAATCTCCTGTTTACAGATGGAAAGGGGGGATAAATCGCTTTGAATCTCCTGGATGTTCATCTTGTTCTCAAGGCTCTCAAACTCATTTAAACTAACCCTAAAAGTCTCTGGGGGAGGGACATTGTAATGAAGTGGGGAGTCGGCCCTGGCACTGGGATCTTCGGTGGAAAACTCAAGCTCTCCAGTGGCTGATAACTTCACTCACCAAGCATAATGTCTCTCCAGACATCACTTCCAGAGACAAATTGGGGCAGGATGGAAGGAGCCAAAATTAGATAAGACAGGGGCCTTCCCTTGGAGAAAGAATCCAAGACAGTCTAAGGGCATCTCCAACTGGAGCTGGCCAGAGGAAACTAGTAGGAGAGGGAGATGGACAGATATCCTTCAGAAGATTCATGGATCCCGCTAGGGTGTGGCCACCCTGCCTTCTCCACAGGATCCTGAATACTGTCCACACCCCCCACCAGTGTCATAGACCCCGTTTCATCCTTACCCTCTCCGGGACCTCAGAGAAACTGGCCAGTCCCAAGAAGCTGAGTTAGATGGGAAGCAAGCCTGGCTCATAGGCAGTGTGTGGATAAGCTCTGTAAAGATGAATTTGCTCCATGGAGGGGGTACCAGTCAATCTCAGACCCCATTCTTCTACTCTAAGGTGCTCATAAAGTATGATGTTTGATAACTTGAGAGACTGAAGTTTCAAGGCCAGCCCTCCAGAGTCATTATCACCCAGAAAACTCTATGCCCAGGAAACACTGTGTCTGTATCTGAAGCAGGACCTCAGGGTCCGAACAGTGCAGGTTCCCTTGGGTGTTACTATTGCATCCAACAGACAGTTTGCTGTTCTACTCACATGCTCTTTGAAGCTCAAAACTGCAATTCTTTATAAAACTGACCCAATCACTCAATTTACAAAGTTGTCAGTAAACAAGTGATATGAGCAAAATTGGCAGGCTCTCAAACTGTGCCTTAGAAGACCAAAGCAAGAAGGAAGACCAGAGACAGACTTGAGGACTTATGGGCAGGATGGGATGTTTAAAATTTCTTAGTGGTTCCTATCTGACATCGCTGCCTTCATGCCTCTCCGCCTTCTGACTTCCACAGTCACAAGACTTGGGCTCAGTCATTCAGCCCGAATGTGGGTCGCTGCCCTGGCAGCCCCAGCACTGAGTCTCCACAGTGGAGCTCCTGGGGGAAGCCAGAGTTTTCACTCAGTGTGATCATCACAACCCATGGTTAAAGCCAACTCACTTGCCATGCTCACCCCTCATTTCCTCTTCCCCAGGCTTAGCTGTCACTGAGAAATCACATGTTCCTAAATACAACCCAGAGCTATTGGGTAATTAATCTACCTCCTTAGCCACCCAATCACTCTCCCAAATTTCCTTCTTTCTCTTTCCCAATGAACCAGAAATCCTGAGACAGAAGATTGTAGATTCATGAGAGCATAAGGTGAAACAGAGGCTATATGGGTCATGGAATCAGACAGGACTGGTGCCTGAATCTGGTTTTGCCATGTACAATCTGGCTTAATTTGTAAACGAGAAAGTTGTGTAAAGATTAAATACTTATATGGCAAAAGGCTTAGCATATAGCATGGTTTAGAGTAGATGATCACTTGATACCAGCTTCCCCACTTCTTCTAGGGTTATTCATTCTGGGCATTAAAAGGGCATTGGCTGCTGGTATCAGTGATGTGGTCATGCAAAATAGCATCTTCATCTTGCTCTTCTGTGGCTCCAGCATCGTCAGTACTTCTGCGACCTCCGCCTCTCTGCCTAACCTCCAACTTACCTGTGCTGACCTTGCCAAGGCTGAGGCCATCCTCTTCCGTTGTTCTGCTTACCCTCTCCATTGTCACTGTCATCCTAGTCATGACCAGAAGGATGCATCCCCTGAAAGCCCA